GGGGGGGGGGGGTGGACGAGCCCGGCGCCCCGCGGGGCCGCGGCCGGGGCGGCCCGGGAGCCGGCGGCGGGCGGAGGTGGGCGGCCGGGGTCCGGTCGCGGGCTGCCGGCGGCTTCGGCCCTCCCGTGTTCGGCGGCGCGTGGACGCGGCTCGAAGGGAGCCCGGAGTCGTTCCGCGAAGCCGTCGTCGGAGCGAGCGGTAACGAGCGGCGGGGGAAGGCGCGGGGCCGGGGCCGCGTCGGGAAGCCGTGCCGTGCGGTGCCGTGCGGTGCCGGCCGACGGGACGCTTTCTGCAATTGAAGTCAGGGAGCGTCAGCGTTTATATTTGAGGGAAGCGCGGGTTTTTTATGCATCGACGTGCGTGCGCGTGCCTAGAGCTTCTCCGCGCAGTTCTCCGTTCAGCGCAGCGCCGTGGTTTCGTGACTTATCCATGCTAGTTTTCTGATACTTCGGTGGCGCGTTCGATTTGAAAGAAGCCGCGTGTCGGCTCGTGCCAGAGCTCCTATGCCAGGAGGCTCCCGGCGGTTTGGGGCGCGGCGGTGCCCGGCTCTGCACAGTGCGGCTCCGTGGCGGTGCGCAGAGCCGGCCGGGCTGTGCTGCTCCTGGGCTGCGGCTGTACGGCTGTACGGCTGTGCTCCGTGCCGGGCTGCACCTGCGGCAGCGCCTCTCCTAGGAACTGCCATAGGGCGCGGGCGGAGCGGAGTCCCTTCACGGATAAGGGAGATAATGCAACTTCTGTTATTTTGTCCTCATCTCCTGCCTGTAATCTTCGGAGAGTGAGTACGTTTAGAGAAAAAACGGGAGGGACACAAAGTAGCCTTAAATGAAAGAAGAAAACGGACGGCTTAGGCTCCAGATGAACGTGTTTTTACAGAGCAGGAGTGCTCAGCTCCTCGGTGGTTGTTTTTTTTTGGTTTTTTTTTGGTTTTTTTTTTTGCGAGGTCTCCGTTAAATAAGCACCCAGTTGGGCACTGGCAGTAGGTGAGAGGTGCTTCTTCAGCCCGGCGGTGTCTGCTGGGTTTCATTTCCCAAGGATGCTCCTCGGCTTTGTGTTAATTTAAGCACAGGGGTTCATTCTCAACATTAAAGGCTAGTGCAGTGGGAAGCAATTGTAGCTCCTATGCTTAAAATCATTCTGAAAGTCAACTTTGAAGTATTTAATGTAGCTATTCAAGTATCCCTTAATCATTTGTTTTATATCAGCTTGTAATTTTTCTGCAATGTAGATTATTATGAACTTTATAAAAATGCTTATTGTCTTTATGTACAATTCCCTCCCGTGAACAAATTGGATTTTTTTTTTTTTTCTGTGAGCAAACTATAATATGGAATGTAATGCCCTGACCTTTCTTATGCTAGATTACCTCAAACACTGTGAATTAGCTTTTCTAAATATCCAAGCATGTTTTCTATTGGTTTGGCGTGTTTTGTATGGTAGCTTTTAATTGCAAAAAAAAAAAAATAACATTAGACATGTAATTTTCACTCGACTTAATTTATGCAAACGCTGAAGTTCTTGCTGCGAAAAGCAAAACTTGGTCTTTTTCCTCGGGGCCTGGATGGGGAGCCTGCTTGTTAATGACAGTCATTTTTCCAACAGGAAGATGTTTTCATTTGTATTTACTTTTCAGTGCAGGGCAATTATGCAGTTCTGTGTTGCGAGCACTTCGTAGTTTGTATCTCAAAAGAATTACAGTTCTTGGAACAGGGCTGCAATTTGAAGCAGGTGGTTTTGTTTTTTTTTTTTTTTTTTTTTTTTTAATACTGTTATGCAAAATAACACCGAAATATAATTGTAAGGGAAATTAAGGAAACAGCTGCAAACCCAGGATGGTAACCATTTAAGCAGGCGTTGAATTATCTTAAAACAGCAAAGATTTGGCCTAATAAAGCTCACCTTGCTGATTTTTACCCCTAAAACTCTTCTGCTTATCCTTGGGAGAGGGGGTTAATGCAAAGAGCAGAGCATAACCTCAGCTTCTGGGGAGTACTGTCTCACTGATTGCTCTGTTTAAATGGGAACTTTATGGTTTAGTTTCATCTGGCCTTTTTTTTTTTTTTTTTTCTTTTTTTTTCTCTCTAAGCAATGAAGGAGATGAGGAATAGAACCCAATTACTGGAATGGAGGTTGCCGAATGTCTTAACCCAGCTAACATATGGAAGCCTACGTAGGCCTGAGGTTGTAAAATAATAAAATAAATGGCCTATAGCAGGCCATCTGCCATTTGCAGGGCAGTTTTGTCGTGCTTCATGCCAAACTGGAAATTAGTCTTTGTATTCAAAATATATTTTGAATGCAAATCAAAGATTCCAAACGTTACACGTGGCAAACACGTTTTGGCCTGGAAGCTAAGAGAAGTCAGGAATATCACACTGGAAAAAACATTGCTCAGTTTGATGCTCGGGTGTCAGAAGTCTCCTCCTTCTTATCTCTCGCTGGTTCTGTAAATTGCACACCGGTGTGTGTAGAAACTGAAGAGTAAGTCAGCTGCTATGGGGTATCAGCATTTCACTGAAGCGCTGCAGCTCTGGTAGCATGCCCCAGCTGAAGCTCTGCAACAGTGCTTTGAAGAGTTGCTCATCTTGAAAGTATTCTGCAGAAATCCGCTGAGCAGTTTTCCCAAAGTCCTTCTGAAGGCAGGCGGGCCGTGGGGCATCCTGAGCTTATTGGTGCAGGAAACTGAGGCTCTGGTTCTGGGGGCAGCGGAGGGGAAACTCAGCGGAGATAGGATTTGGGAAATTTCTGGCTTTCTCCTCATTCTTGCGTCACAGGATGCTTCCAGCCTTAGTGCAAAAACGTATCTAAGGGCACTTTGAAGATGAGAAAGATAAGGACACGCATAGTGAGGAAAAACATTTCTTTCATCTTAGGCAGAAATATTTACGGATGAAATTGCACTTAAATCTATCCGATAAATCATTACTGCCTGCTGATGAATCCAAACCAGTTTCAGTGCTACTGGACCGTAATGTGGGTATTTTGTTAGGGTTCTCTCCATGCTAGCCTTCTTCCAGGCAGATGGATACATCGTTTCAAAGGTATTTGTGTGCGTTTTTTGCTTCATAACTGTAGGACTTTCTGCCTGGTGTCTGCTTCCTGCAGTCCCTCAGCTATGGCTCCTTCTGTGAAGCCACAGGAACAATTCGTGTCCTTCAGGAAAATAGTCTGCTTGTTAGTTTTCATGTTTGCAATTAGGCATCACTCAAAACAAAGAATTTTAAGTGTGGAGTGCTTAGCTGGGGCTTTCCATACAGTTTGTTCTCCGGAAAATAAAACCCGTTCTTAAGCATCCATGCTCCCAGCCCCCGTAGTGATGATGGTGTTAATGTGGTGAGCACAGCTGTGAGTAGCAACGAGGGGTACAGCGGCGACGGGGGGGGGGGCACGGGGAAGGGAGATCTCTGTCTGGAAACGTGGAGAGGTGGGAGCGATGTGTCCGTGCGTGCCTCCATCTCCCCACAGCTGAGGTTGTGCTGTTTCCTCACAGCTCGGGGCTGCTGGCGAGGAGCTGCTCGGCCTGGGGAGCTGCCAGGAACACGATGCCCTGCCCTGCTCTCGGCCTTGGGAAGCTGTGAGTTGCTCATGTCCATAAGGAGGAAGGATGGCTCATGGAATTCCTTCACAAGGCAAAGTTACCATAACGGTGGATGAGTACAGCTCCAACCCGACGCAGGCCTTCACGCACTACAACATCAACCAGAGCAGGTTCCAGCCTCCACACGTGCACATGTAAGTATTGCCGATGTCTGTCCGTCCGTCCGTCCCCGCAGACCTGGCTCTGCGCCGCTCGCCCTGCTACCTGCCCGAGGCACCCGTGCCTTTAAAATCCAAGCTCCCTTCCCCCGGCCCTCCCGCTCCTTGCGAAATAGGTCTAATTGGGACTAATTGTCCCCCTCCCCCCGGTCACCGCATCCTTTGTCCTCGCGGCTGTGGGGATCGCATGCCGCCGCGTAGCGCTAAGCGGAGCCACGACGGGTCGGAGCGCTGCTCGCAGCGGCGGGCACGGCCTGACCGCGGCCGGCCGAAGCTCGGCACCGCGGCTGCGTTTCTCAACCCAGCGTCGCCTTAACTCTCAATTTCCTTCCCATTGTTCGGGCAGGTCTGATCTTTATCGGTTAGCTCTGTTAAGGTTATTTTTCTTTCAACGCTAATAGACTGAAAAGCACTTGAAACTAAAACAAAGAGGACATCTCTTGACCTGCTCTCTGCCATTGTGAGTCAGGATTCGGGGTGATGTCATGCTATTGAAGCTGATAAGGATTTTGCATAATAAGAGTGAAAAAGTTGTAGGCTACTTGGTTGCATTTTGTTATGTAGAAGCCTACCGGAAGGGACACAATGCGAGAGTTCAGCACCTTCTAATAGGATTTCATGTGGTTCCCATCTTCTGTAAAGCAACTTGCTGAGGAAGGATGCTGGAGTGGCTGCCGTGTTTGTGACCGTTGGCGTTTTTGTCAGTTACTTTTGGTTTATTTCTGCAGCGATGCTGTAATTCTGCTTCAGCCTGCCTTTCCATTTCTTATTCGCTGTTCAGATCTTTTGTCAGCAAATTTCTGTTTTGCAAGTTTTGCACTCCAGACCGCGCTGCTGACTGACACTGAGCGTGAACTCAGGACAAACAATAGAGATTTGGAAAGCAGTTTTAAAGAGCTCTTGCTAACCGACTGGTTTGAATGGGAGCTGATTTTAGGACCGACGACGGCTAGTGTTCAGCGTCTTAAGAATTATTCTTCTCTTATAAAGAATTATTCATCCTTTGTTTCAAATGTGCGCAAATAATTGTGCTTCCCTAATAACTTGTGCATCTCTTACATGGTGCTGACTGACAGATATCCAAAGATACTTCACTTTTTTGGAGACATCATAAACTTGACAGAAATACTGACACAATAGACTATGTCATAGTGACAGTATTTAAAAGACAAATAGCTGAAAGACTGCAGCATTCTTAAATTCATCTATGGATGTGTCGTATGGAAAGGGGGATCAGAATTTAAAAAAAAAATTGGGAGAAGATTAGTCTGAGAAAGTTACAGCAGAACACAGATACAGTGTTGCAGCACAAGGGATGAGTTGGGGCTGTAGTTGATAGCAAGTGATGGGTTTTGGAAAACCTGGTGAGGAAAAGGTGATAGGATCCTAATAAGTGCCAGGAGCTGCGGGCAGAGCAGAGTGAGGAGTGAAGATGTGACAAAGGCTGTGGGTAATTTCGTGGATGGGAGGAGAAGGGAATTCGAGCATACTGTAACTTCAGAAGTGGGCTTTATTTCCTTATTTGTCAACCCAGTGTTTTTAATGGAAGCACTGTGCACGTTTCTGAAACTGTGTCTTCATGCAAGAAGTCCTGAACAGAAAACTGATAGAAGTAACATTAACAAGGAAACAGTGATTAATTTTTATGCTGTCGTCTTTGATAGTGCCCCGCTGCTGCAGCTGTCAGGGTTGTTACATGAGGTTTTGCAGTTCTGCTTTTCTGTTTTGCTGTCTGCATGCATTTTTATTTAAAGATGGTGTTTGAGGAGGTTTTTTTTTTTTAATGAAAAGTTAATATTAAAAAACTGGGCTGCTGAGTAATTTGCAAAGCAACACAGAAACTGAGCGTTATGACGTGTGTGAGTAGCTGGACAATCTGTTGCTCCAGGGCCCTGCTGCATGCCATCAATCAGCGGCTGGACGCAGTTTCAGGACGTTGCTCTTCCCCAGAGGAACTAATTTGTAAATTAGTTATTTCTTTATGCATATGCATCTTCACGTGGAAAGTTGAGAGCTGTCTTCTTGGCCCATATCGAGCCATTTCTGTTTGTGGTATTCATCAGGCCGGATTCTCACCTCACATGGAGTAAATTAAGAGCCCTTGGAATTTCACCAGTGCAAAGATGATGTTTAAAGAAGTACTAGAATTACTTCTTTAAGCACTTCCTGCTCCCTGAGGCTTTATTTTTTTTCCCCCCTGCTTTTATTTTGTGCCTTTCACATAGCAGTGTTAGTAGTTTGATCATCATGGATGCAGTTCTCGTTAATTCTCTTTATACATGTTTTTACTCCAGTGCTTCTTAGTGTACCCATGTAAGTGTTCCATCAGGTAAATAACAGGGCATCAAAACTCCCTTTGCTTAGGCTGACTGATAGCAGTTTTGTCAGTTGCTTCGATGTTGTGTGGTATGGATTCCATGACTTTGTTCAATCTTCGTGCTATTTCTCCGCTAATTAATGTTTGAGCAGGTGGACAGTTTTCACTGTAAGGTTATTTTGGATAAAGGGATAGAGTGCTGAGCTATTGGACGTCTCGAGGCAATGAAACCCTTAGGTCTCACCCATTTTCTGAAGATGTTATTGAATGTTTGCATTTGAATGTTCTGTACATAGAATATTTATCTTTGCTTACTTTTAATTGACTACACCGCCTTAGTTCCCTGTTTTAAAGGGCAGCTGCAAAATGATGATGATGATGTGCATATATTTGCTTCTTAATGATGATAATTCTTCTGCAAATTGTAGCATTTTGTTTGGAATTACGATTTCCAGAGGCGATTGCTTCTTTGTTGCAGTGCTGCCCCCTCTGTTCTGCAGCACTGTGGATTGAGGGGACTTTAGTATGAGACCAATCTGAGGCCTGGGAGGCTTTAAAGAGCAGGAAGGTGCTCTTTCTAGTAATGAGGTTTAGAAAGAAAACAAAAGGTGTGTAAGTTTGTTGGGACCCTTGATATGTTGTGCATGAGGCCGCGGCCAGTGGTGCCAGCAATGCAGGTGAGCAGCCATAGGATGCAGCCCTGGGGCAGCATCAGCACATGGTGAGGAGCTGGCAGCCCGTGGTCCATCTAGAGGAGCGGTGATCATGCTCATCAGCTTTCCTTAGCCCTCACCAAAATGGCTGGGTAGCTGGCTTTTAGCATGCTGGGGGTACACAGCAGAACTCAGGTGTCTTTTAAATGCAGTACTAGTGAAGGAAGAAAGAGAAGAGGTTTCAGTGCAAGAGAAAATCTTCTAATGAGTTTATGCACACCTGGAGATACAATGAATGATCTGCAACTATATAATTTTACTGCCTTTTCTGTACTAGAGTAATTCCCCATGTGAATATTCTTATTTTAAAATAGAGTATAAACATTGGGTTTTATATAAGTAGAACTTTATGTACTTTATCCAACTATACATATATGTGTATGAGCGTGTGTTAAAGTGAATCTGTATTAATAATGGTAACATAAAAATGCAGTTGTATACTCAGAAGAAAAAACGTTTAACTCTGATAAAGCCTTAAATCCTTGAGACCCAAAGATCTTGTTAGGCTTCTCACCTTGACAAAGTGTCTGGTGTATTTTTTCTTTCAGGGAAGCCATCCTGCACATAGTGGGTGAGATTAGTGGGAAATTCGTGCATTTGATTTGTAACATTCTGTACTTGAGCTTCATGTAAGGTGTATGATATTTAGGGAGAAGGAGAAAGATTGGCAGTGGTAGAATACAGACTCACTTGACATTTAGAGAATAGAGGTGTTCGTACATTGAGGAATTTTGGTTGAGAGAGTACAGAAATTGAGAGTAAGCTGGGTAGCTGTGACTGGATGAGGCATTTCAGGTGGTACTGATGTGCTGAACAGTCACAGCTTTGGTGCCAGGTGTTGCTCTGTCAATTAAACAACATTTCTTAGAAGAGCAGACGGAGCTCATGAGCATCTTAGTTGCTTTCACTCCTTCACTACAGAAATAATAATAAAAAAATACAACCAGTACAACCCAAACCAAGTAAATTACATTGAAGTACATAGGAACAGGAGTACATTGAACAGCAGAAGTTCAAACTTGAGCCTTCCTTCTGTCTCGGGTGATGTTCACTGAGGGCTTCTGCTCATCTTCTGCAGTCCGAACTCCCATCCCTCTGCTATCTCTGAGGCAAGGATGGCTGCTGAAATGCAGCAGTTCCACCATGCCACGTTTTTCTACTCCCACTAAGCAGCCAGCAGCAGCCTTTCAGCTGCCTCCAGAGCAGCTGAGCTGCCTGTGGGAAGGGGGATTCCAGCAGAAAGGAGGGGAGGACAGCTGGAGGTGAGAATCCTTACAGCTGTCCCAAGATCGAGAGTCTCCCCTCAAGAAGAGGGCCACTAACAGACTGCTTTTTCTCATTCTTGTGCAATAGAACAATGGAAGCTGAGCTGCAATTGTCATTAAGAAAATATCTGTGCGTGTGTCTCTGTGGGTCTAAATAATGGAAGATTTCTATTTATCTTAATGATTTTAAATTGTGTACTTTGCAAAATCTAAGCATAAAATATGTTTTCAGTTTAGATTTCAAATGTAAAATGAGAGCTTTTTTTAATGAGGGTACACTTTAATTATATCTAAAGCCTTCTGAGATGCTTGAGTGGAGCATGCTGGAAGTGAAACGTTTGTACAGTGGTGATATATGGCTCAGAGATTGCAGCCCTGTAATTAAAGCTCAAACTTAGTCCCCTTATATTGCGTTTATACAGTGTAGTCATATTGTGCTAATCTCTCTTGAAGAATTGATTAAGTTTCTGACCTTTCTTTTTGTCACTGTTAAAAGGAACAATGCCAACCTAGCTTTAAAAATATTTAGGCATCTCTGGAAGACTGATGCTCTAAAAGTGCCAATGTTATTATTATAACAAATGTAGGACAGGAGTAAAATAATGTTTTGTCAACTTTTCTCTGCTGATTACTCTATTTTCATCTTACATTGTCCTCAGAGGGAAGCCACAGCTGGTTTAA